AGAACATGACTAAGCTATCTATCTACTTAGAACTTACAGATGCAAAAATGAAAATTATTTTCCCATGACTAATTTCATATGCAAAGAGAGCCCCTTGGCATCTTTTCATAGCTGTTATTATTTATATTTGAAAAAAAATCTAAATACAAAACAATAGAGGAATGGATAAATACTGTGTTAAGCATAGTGGATAGAGTGTTAGATTTAGAATCAAGAAGACCTGAGTTCCAATCCTGCCCAACACTTTCCAGCTGTGTAACCTGGGGCAAATCACCTTATTTTTCTCAGCCCCCATTTTTGTCATCTGTAAAATGGGTATAATAATAGTAATGACCTTTTAGGGTTGTTGTGAGGATCAAATGAAATAACATATTTAAAGTGCTTATACCACTTTAAGGTTATACTAATGCCATTGAAATGTGATCAGAAATTATAAAACAATTAAGATGGACAAGTATATGAATTACAAAGTAATCTGGAAAACAGCTTTTTGGCATCATAAAAAGCCCTCAAAAAGCAAAAACAAAAGAATGGAGTACACAATAATTAGAGTCATATAAGGAAAAATGAGTAAGAATGAATAGACTGATGTGGCCCTAGATAGACTGACAAAGTGGGAGATGGCACAGTAACATTTATAGCTCTTTTATCAGGCTGGGCTGGCCAAATCTGATGGAAACTGACCATTTCTAATTTTAAAAAAAAGTCCTTGGGCTTCAACTCAATGCTGTTATATCTAGAGAAATATTTATTTAGAATGCTGGGAAGTGAAAGAAAGAGGAAGAGGAGAAGTGGGAAAAATGAGAGGCCTTCATAACAGGGAGCAAAGTCCTAAGACTTTTAAGTCCTAAGCCTGGGAGATGTTTGTAAAGGAAACAGGGAAGAAAAATGTCTTCTATTAGCTCTCCTCCTTATTCAGGCAATGTAAGACATGATTTAATGACTATTAGTAGTTATTTTTTTCTAGAACTGCACTTTCCCTGGCATAGGCAATTTCCATTGTGGAATTTTCTCCACTGATGCATATCAAACACTCATCTGCAATATATCAACAAACCAATCAACTAATTAATCAATCAATAAGCATTTATTAAGAGCCTAATATGTGCCAGGCACAATGCTAGGCACTAGGATTATGAACACAAAGAATGTAACAATCCCTACTAGGAACTTTACATCCTAAATCTGATAGCCTTATAATATCAGAGCTGTTTTTCTGTTTCTCGTATAAGACATATCATCTCCCTTCTCTATTGTCTTTCCGCTGGCTGTCCCCTGTGCCTGGAATACACTCCTTCCTCACTTCAACCTCAGAGAGTCTCTTTCTTTTAAGTGATCTGCCCATGGTCAGTAATATATGTAAAAGACAAGACTTGAACACAGATTTTCCTGACACCAAGGTCAACAACCCTAGATCTATTATACCATGCTGTGTCCAATAATAATTCATTAACAGAGTCAATTTGGAGAAAAGGTTCCCACCAATGCTCCCTCAAATCACAGGTTATCCTAAGATACAATGGTTACTTTAACAATGTCACATTGGCCCTAAGGATGGATGGATGGATTATGTGTGTGTGTGTGTGTGTGTGTGTGTGTGTGTGTGTGTGTATCTCAGATAAGGTCTCCTGACAGACAGAAGGCCACTACCTTGGAAAGCCTGGAAACAGAGTGTTACAAGAGCAAAGAATACAGAAAGATTCTGGAGGAGTGGTATTTAAAGGCCAGATGGTCTATCCACATTTATTACACCTTCCAGTCGCCACTTTTAGAAGGAATGTGCACCCCTTTTCTTCCCCCCTTCCCCCAGCTGTGATGAACTACAACTCGCGCCTCTGACTTGGTGGTGATAATTAAATATTATCTGCCTGTCACTTGGCACACATGTTGTGTGTGTTCTCAGACTTTAATGAGCTGGTATTTGTCTCCTGTAAGCAAAAATATTTCTTTGAGCCTCTTGTTTTTCAAATTGGGGTGAGCAGTTCAAGTGAAGATTTCATGCTATTTTTTTTTAAAGTCTGTTTGCTAGCAAGTCTTGTCTAAAGAAAACTGGCTTCTATTAAGGGTCCATGGAGAGCAAAGAGATTTTCATGAAGACCAGTTCCATAGGTTCACAGATTTAGAGCCCGAAGCACCTTAGATGTTATCTTGTCCAAATTTCTCATTTTCTAGATGAAGGCACTGTTGTCCTGGAGAGGTTGAATCGCTTCATCAAAATCAGACAACTAGCAGAATTAGGATTTGAACCTGGGTCTTCTGGCTTCAAATGCAGCCCTCTTTCTCCTGCACCCCTTTTCAGATATTATGGTCAGCATTCAGAGCCCAGTACCATTTATGTAAATGGTAGGTGCTTAATATATGCCTGTCAAATGAATGTGGAACGAAAGGCATTTCTTTCATGTTTATTGTTGAGATTCAAAGGATTGAGAGCAGTGGGGCAAAAGCAGTGGAAGGGACTAAAACAACGACAGAGGGCAGTATTTTTCTGTTGTTCAGACGATTGTAAAGGTCTCCTTTCTCTCCCTTTCCCTACTTAAAAAATTAAACTTTTACACAGAGAACTAGTTAAAAATATCGATACTACAAAGCAATGTTAGATAGAAAAGCAGTTTGCCTTTTTTTACTCTCTTCTTGAAGTGTACTCTGTAATTTTCCCCATTCATGAGATTTATAACTAATGCATTCTTTGCAGCTGTTCCTGGAGCTGCATTCAGGTTCGGCATGGGCACTCTCAGTCACACAGCCAGGTTTATACACCAATACAGTTTTTCATGAATAGCTCCTAAATCAGAATTGGGGCTACTGCAGAGTTTCCCAAAAAAGATATAATTAGGGTGCAACAGGACTGGGTCCAGACTGGACGACAAGCAGTTTTAATATTTATCAATAAATGGCAAAGTGCTTAGCACCCCACCTAAGGATGTAATTAACCACAGAACAGAGAATCTGAGCCCTGGATTTGCCTTATAAAGAAGGCACTCAGTTTAATTGAGGATTGCTTATGTCAGGTGAGAGAGAGTCTGTGTCTACCTCTCTCACCTGACATAACAATTAACTGGGGGTTTTCTTTTTATAAACATTGTGTGGCTCCTTTTTCTACGTGGTTAATTACTTCCTTGGGAGGTTTCCTTTAATACTTCCCATAACAAGGCCATTATTGTCTTTAGCATAATCACTGGCTCATTTGCTTTGGTGCCCTTCCTTTGCCTTGCTCTCATTTTGACTCAGCCTCTGGAAACCAAGACCAGCTGCCCTATGTAGTCTTTCCTTCCACCTTCCCTTCCCCCCCACACTGCTAGTGCTTAGGGCTGGAGACCGGTGCCATCCAGCTTAGAGAGGCTTCCCACCTTCCCTCCCTTCCTCTCCTTCCTTCCATGAAACATGGAGGACAAGAGATGTGTTAGTCATGTAGGTTACATATTAGTATGGAACAGTGGACAGAGTATTGGACTAAGACTCAGGAAGACCTGGGTTTAAGTATCACCGTGGACACCATTTACAATGCGTGACCTTGAGCTGGGTAAGCCACTTTACCTCGTTGGTTCTCAGTTCTTCCATCTGTAAAATGGATTTAAATTTGATGGCTTCAAAGATTCCTTCTAGTTCTAAATCTAGAATCTTTTTCTGTGTTTTTTTTTCTTTTTAAGGCAATTAGGGTTAAGTGACTTGCCCAGGGTCACACATCTAGGAAGTGTCAAGTGTTTGGTCTGAGGCCGGATTTGAACGCATGACTTCAGGGCCGGTGCTCTATCCACTGTGCCACCAGCTGCCCCCCCTAAACCTAGACTCTTAAGAAACTGACAGTTTTAGAGTCTCCACTGTGAAACATAACATTCTGTTCTTCTCCTCTCTCACCTACCCTACTCCTTTCCTCACCCCCGACCCTCCCCCTCCGCCCCAAGGTCTTCCAATGCTACTGTAGATGCCCAGGGTGGGGAAGGGAACCCACCCAACACCTACAATGTTGTCAGTAAGCAATTGTTGTAGTTTGTGAAACAAACAGGGGCGAGAAAATAAATAAAACACACACACACACACACACACACACACACACACAGAGCCATGACTCCTGAGTAGGAAAATGCCAGGATTTTGACTCTACTTCAGTAAAGAGAAAATACTGCAACACTGTGAGTGTGAGTACTGACCATGGCACTTTGGAATCCTGTGAAAACCCAAAGCAAAAATAAAAAAAAATAAAAGATTGCCATTAGTGGGGCCTGGACACAATTCAATTCGTGATTAATGGACATTACATAGAACTAGAAGATTAGGAGAATTCACTTACATTAAACAACACCCCAGTCTTCTCTGGGTAGCAGGAAGAAAAACTTTGAGCAAACTCCATAGTGCCCTAATACCCTGCTGAGGATCAGATTATCTGGGCCAGATAACCTTCTTTTTGGTAGCTGTGAATATTCCTGCCTTCCCTTTGACTCTGTCAACATGGGATTGGGGGGGGTTGGCAAGTTCAGGACTAAGACCAATCCTGACCTCTCATCTGAAATGCCCAGCACCAGAAGGCCTGTCAGAATCAGCCATTCTGTAGACAACGTCAGGGACTCTTTTGTGACAGTGGGTGCTTGAATACCTGAAGGCAGCACGAAGCCCTCTGTCACCCCAAGCTGTCTTCGACGAGAGCCCACGTCGGTACAAGGATGCCATATTCCCCATCTCATTTGTTTCAAAAGAAATGTTACAACAACGTCTGACAATAGTATGGGAGAGGTCTTTCAGTAGTAAAATGACTCATGACTAAAGTACATACAACCCTCTGTTCTTGAGGGACTGGGAATTGGAAGACTTTTTGCTCACCTCCCTCATTATCCTTGTTATCAGCACAGGAGGTTTCCATGGCAACGTTGCATCCGGGCCCTCTCCAGCCGGTCTGGCAGACACACTGCCAGCTGTTCTGACCGAGTGTGCATCTCCCATTGCCACTGCACAAATCGGGGCAGCCATCTGGTTGAAGAAATGAAGAAGATAAGTACGAGGGACACAGATCCACGCCACAGATTTGAGGGCCATGCAAAGGGAGGACGAAGTCACTGTACATTCACAGGGCCATCCTTGGAGGTAGAGGGTGGGGAGGAGATAATGGCCATCTTAGAAACAGAGTTTGGGGAAGCGGGTTACACATGCAGTAGGGAGTACATGAAAGAAAGGGGGATACGCACCATTGAGATGTGCTGCCACTGCCCTATAGGATTGGTTCTGTCTGAACTTTCCGAACAGATGGAGTTCGGCAGTTCATCTCAGAAAACAGAAATCAGTTTTGAGTTGATCGTTTACCTAGTTGAGGATTTATTTAGGACCAGTGTCTTGGTTTGGACACGGTCTTGATTTCTTTTTTTGTTTTGCTTTATTAGAAGTGCCCTCTGCAGAAGGAGAAAAAATATTCCTTTCAACTAAGGATGGCAAAGTGCCTTCTCCATCTTTCAGAATTCTAAAGATATATTTACATATAATTATCACAGGCTTCTCATGACTGAGAACCGGATTAGTCTGCTGAGCTATTTTCACATTCTGTCTCTTTTAATATTAAGTTTTAATGGGTACTTTAAAAAGTTGGCTACTTATTACTCAACCTATTTATGGCAGGGTTTAAAATACTGAATTACATGAAAGCTGAGGCCTGAGAAATTTTCCAAGTGCATAAATGTTGAATGAATGAGGTGAATGGTTTTTTTTTTGTTTTGTTTTGTTTTGTTTCTGGGTTTTTTTGGGAAGGTTTGTTTGTTTGTTTTTGGCAGGGTTAGATCAACATTCTGCCTCCTTTCCCTCATACACTTGCAAAATGTGCATCGAATGTCACTGAAATGACTGAACCTGTCCCTCTACTGAGCTGAGATACAGCCTGGGTCCCAGGGTGGAGACAAAGTGAGGGATGGCCCCAGGCACTGAAGCGGAGTGGAAGAGTTCTCATGGGCAAAGGGGTAATCCCCTTCTGACCCAGAGAGATAAGCAGGAGAGTTGGTATCACAGATTCATACCCAAAACATCCTGATTGCTAACAAGAAGTTCTTCATGTGTTCCTCCTCAGCGTGACTGTATACTAATGGTCATTGACTGGGCTGTCATTGAAAAAGCAAATTCCCTTGAAATGATTTTATATAACACCAAAGAGAAGAATGAATTGGGCAATGGAGAAGAAATGGAGAGTTTTGCATAGAGGATTGAGTCAAGATGGCTCACCTGAAACAGGCCTACATCAATTGCTCTTGCTGTTATAACTTTCCTCACCAGCGCTAAGGATGGGTTTGCTGAGCAGCTCTCCTCTCCTGTCTTAGGTGCCAGAGAAGCAACAGAATCAATACACAACTCTACAGCCCAGATTCAAAGGGCTCTTTCCAAATGGCCTGGGACTCCAGCGTCCTTTTTCTTCCTATTTAATTCTTGCTCTGTACAAAGACTCTCCTGGCTCTATGCAGCTGGTGGTAGGGGTGAGAATACTCAGCGGTAGCCACTCCCAATAGAGTATATGACAAACAACAGATGAGGGAAAAGTTCACTGGGTGTGGCAGAGGGAGGGCACTTGGGGAGGCCCGAGGAAGGAAAGAGAGGCACTACAGGCACAGCTAAGAATGCACAGGCATGCACTGACACTCCCTAAAGAGTCTTCCTCCTTCCTAGGTTCCCAAGCCATTATGACTTTTCCTACTAATGGTGAAACTAAGGCAGAGAGAAGCTAAGCAACTTCTTTGGATTATATATGATGAAAGAAATGGGGGACAGCAGCTTCAGAAAAAAGAATTGCAGATATTTCTGCAGGTGTAAGAAGGATCTCATTAAGTGAAAATAAAGGATTTTCACTATTCTAAGATGGAGGAAAAAAAAGGCATCTAACCAAGGCATATAATTTATCTCCGGGTTCAAAAGGTATGGTTACTAGTACACAAAAAACACCCTAACTTGAATGGTCTTCCAACATGTTGAACACCTTGGTAACTACTGTGGATGTGAATTATTTTGCCCCTTTGAGGTGTCATGTTTTCTGAATTAAAACAGGAATAAAAGTGTCAGAGAAGGGCTCATTGTAGAGGAAGCCCAAGTTTGTAATGTAAAATTTAAATTCACAATCAATGCTAGCCTGTCTGCCAGAGATATGCACTCAAAATGTGTGTATGCCTGGGTTGGGTAGCTTTCCCCCTCCTTTTCCATTTTTTTTCCCTTTGACCAACCAAAGTGAGATAAACAGATCACAGTAGCAGGTTTTCTCCACATCATATGAGCAAGATGAAAACATGAACAGTGGGAAGCTGGCAAATCTCTGAAAAGTATCAGGGCAGCTGGGAATTAATGGACATGACTTTGCTTTTAGCTTGAAGACTGAAGAAAGCAGCCCCAGTAGGTGCGTGGAGTTGCTAGGCAACCCCACGCTACCTCTGGCACAAGTTCATTCTGTTGGTGGCCTTCAGAAGAGACGATGTGTTGTGTTTGTAAAATGCAAAGCCAGCTTCCTCTTAAGGAAAAACAAAATGTAAGAAGTAATTAGTCTACAGGGCAAGTGGGCAACTGGGCTGTTATTCCCTCTGGAGAGGATTTGAAAGTCAGAATTGGACTCGGGTTTCTAGGATGTGAACTTAGAGGGTCAGAACCATTGGCTGGGTAAACTAGCAAGCCTACAGGGTGGAGTCCTCTGGGACAGGGTTGTTGACCACATAGACCACAGAGTATTTTTCAAAGTCAATCCCGTGTTTGATGCCAGCTCTGTGTCTAAAGCACATGGAGCCTTCTGGGAGGCTCCAAACACTGGTTCAGACATGGAGCAGGTGGCATGGGACTGATGACACATAGCTACTCTGCCTGGCCTCTGCTTAGACTAGAAAGAAGATAGTGGGACCTCCCCATAGAGTCCATCCCCCTACAGCAATGATGCTGGGGGTAAAGCCAACTCCACATTCTCTGACAGCCTACCAATCCATAGGGGATTCAATACTAGGCTATGGTGACCAAGGAAGTAAGAGGTTGTATGTCAAACACCTTCTACCTTCTGTATCCTTGTTAACAGTAAAAAGCAATCCCAATCCCCTGCTCCTCTCCCCCTCCCCCTGATCCACCCCTGGTAACACAGCAGGGCTAGATGAATCACTACCAAATTCTAGTCACTTAAAAAACCCTGTTTGTCAACAATTTTCAAGTAGGAAGGCTTTTTGCTTTAAAAAAAAAAGTCAGGCTAAAACAAAATAACGTCTATGGTGACGTGAAAGGGGAGCACACATGCACTTGAAGAAAGCTATAATTACCATAAAAGGTTCTTCTAAAAAGGAATGTTCTACCATGTTCAGCAATTTAGAGGTAGAAATAAATGGCTAATATTGCATAAGGGATGTGAAGAGAGAAAGGGTTTTAACATTCAGAATCAAATGCAACTGGGAAAAGCTTGGGAGATAATACCTACTTCAAACAGAAAAAGCAAGGAAGTAGATGAAGGGGAAAAATACAAAACAAACTGAAAATAAACACAAACAGACTGAATGAACAAGCTGTTGGAGTAATGAGAAATACCTACTTGGTGCTAGAGGCCATCATAAAAATCTAATATAATACCCCAGATCAATGCTTTGAATAAGAGGCTGTTCTGAGTTAGGAGAAACCAACTTGCCTTGACATTTTATCAATTCTTTCTGGTCTATAGCATGGCCTTGTTCAAGGGCTATTCCAACCAGTTCAGGTGTATCTCTGCCCTCCCTTCAGCTAGAGCAGGCAAGAAGGAAAGTCCTAGCTTGTTTGGAACCCCCAAATCTGGATACAGAGATCTCCCCAGCATTTGGACAGCAGGGAATCTCACGAAAACTTCTCCCCTTCTCCCTTTAGCCTCTTTAGTCTACCACCCAGGAAGGTCCCAGCACCAATGCTGATTGTTCACTCTTCCTAATGAGAGTCTGCTAAGCATTTCCTAATACAATTAGAAGACCATCCACCAACGCAGGAAATGTAGAGAAAGCATAAGAAAAATGCTGTTATGGGATCATGGGAAAGGTATCACCCTTCCTCAAAGGCCTAGTCTTTTTAATCTTATGTTAAAGAGGGGTCACTGTTCCCCTTCTATTCCTCTCTTCTAAATGTCACTTTCTAAAAAAAAAATTTTGAAGCTATGGCAGTTGCAACATTGCCAGACATTACTAGAATTAGGAGGTGTAATCATTAGTAACACTTAGGAGACAGCCTTTGCTTTCCAGAAATGTTTATGGTTAAAAATAGCTGAGACACTGGGGAGAGATGCTCACTGAGGGTCTGGAGGCCATTTAAACTAAACAGCAGTGGCAAAGGTCCAGAAAATTAATCTGATGTTTTGAGATACTCTGGGGAAAACCTTCAACTAATTTTAAATGACTGCCAAAGAAGCATTTCTGTCTCTGGGAGACCAGGGGCCTACTCCTCTCACTCATCCATGTGTACAAGAAGGAAGCATTCAGGAGCTAAGTTTTTGGGCAGTAAAGTGGCACTGGCAGCCAGCTATGGGCACACACTATGTATACCCACACCTGAACAGCTGCCCCGACCCTTAGCTGCAGTTCCTGCTAACATGAGCAAGAAAGAAGGTACAAAAGTTAGAATCAGAGATTTCTCTTTTTCAATAACTTATTTTTTCAAAAAATATTTTATTTTTTCCCCAATTAATGTGAAAACCATTTTCAACTTTTTTTTTTAAGGTTCTGAGTTCCAAATTCTATCCCTTCCTCCCTCCGTCACTCCCCTTCCCCTCCCTGAGATGGCCAACAAGCCAGTATAGATTATACATGTGCAGTCACGCAAAATGTTTCCGGTGCTCTGGAGATTAGTAAGGACAGCTTTGGAAAACTTAGCCTGCCTCCTGTGAGTGATCATGATATTCCAGAGACAGAAATGATCTTTCAGCAGTCAGTGCTATCTTAAACTGCAGATGCGAGAAGGGCGAGAGGAAAGGACTAGGGAAGTCGGGAAGGAGAATGGTCTTTCTATGGTCCCACTGCCCAACTTTTGCTAACAAGGTAAAAATCACTTTTGACAGCAGCAGGACTGCTGTGAAGTGACACCATGCAGATCCAGCTGTCTATGCTGCAAGTTTTCTGCCTGCACCTGGATTCTTACTGATCAGCATCATTTTAAATCCTAATACACAGTGTGGGAAAAGGAAGATAGTAATACCAGCCTCAAAGAACACTGAAAGGTTTGTTATGCCTGACTCTTAAAAGAGAAGGACCCTCCCTGAATTCTAATAAAAAAAGAGAATTTGTCTGCCTTTTCTGTCTTTCATGTTCCAAGTTTTCACTAATAAGTGTTTTTTATTGTCCGTATGATTATGAGATGAGGACAAGAGCTTTGGGAATAGTAGGAGGAGACAGTTCTGTGGGGAAGGAGACCTATGAGATGAGAAAAGCCTGCTGAGTTTTGTTTCCTCCAAACTTAGCCACGCTCACAATTCTACTCCTCTTCCATCCAGACTAAGACTGTAGGGTACCTTCTACATTTTTTAAACTAGCATATTTTGCTCAGACAGGGACGTAAACAGGGAGAAGACGAGAGAAAGGAGGCAAAGTTGTCACCCTAAGGGTGGCATGGGGGTAGGAGGGGTTTAAGTGAAACCAATTTTATTGCCCCGGGATCTGGCCCCTTTCTGCCACTTTCCCCACTGGATAAGGTAGTGGCATCAGCATGTGTATTTAACATCACTAAAATACGATACAGACAATTATGCTCCTGTTCAGAGTCATTGCTCATTGTTTAGAGCCATCCCAGAAGGCAAAAGCTACTAGAAAGGCAGCATGGGCTAACCGGCAGGGTGCTAGAATGAGACTCAGGAAAACACCTCCAACACTCAGTAGCTGTGTGACCATGGGCAAAATGCTTAGTCCTCTCTGAAACTCTATTTCCTCATCTGTAAACTGGGGGTGACAGAGTAGTACCGACCCCAGAGGGTTTTCACGAGGCTCAAATGCTCTGCAAACCTTAAAACACTTTATCAGTCATCATTTCTCTTAGACATAGAGGCAGCTGGTGGCGTGTGTAGAGTGCTGGATCTGGAGTCGGGTAGACCTGAATTCAAATCCACCCTCAGACTACCACCTGTGTGACCCTGGCCAAGTCACTTAGCCTCTTTGTGCCTCAGTTTCCTCGACTGTAAAATGGGGACAATAATAACCTTTGCAGGTGAAGATTGAATAAGATATGTAAAAATGCTTGGCGCAGTACATAGTAGGTGTAGGTGCATAGTATATAGTAGGGGCTGCATAAATGCTTATTCTCTACTTTCCTGTAGACATTCAGATGAGTCCCTAGACCGATGGAACTTCATTGAGCAAAAGAGGCATTTGATACAACATTGGAAATTTAAAAAAAAATGGCGAGCAGAAACTAGGACTGCATGTGTATGTGGGTGTGTGTGTGGTGTGTGTGTGTGTGTGTGTGTGTGTGTGTGTGTACTGGGCAGTGTCATTCTGTATTTAGGGAAGCTGAGACCTACCGGATAAAAGAGACAACAGATATCTCAAAGAGAAAGAATAGAAGGTGTGTCTGTAGATTAAGAGAGTGATAAGAGTTACGCAAAGGCAGGCATGACAATAATAAGAAAGCCCAGTGGTTTAATTTGGTTCTTGGAGGACAATTAAGTTTTTGTACCTTGCATTGCTTATTCCCACGGCTGTCCAGCAAATAATGAATGAGGTGCCTGTGAGTATGGAAATAAGGACAAAGGCTTGACTTTGATTTCTTATTTGTTATTTTTAACCATCCAATTTCTACACCCACTGAGCATCGTTAGAGCCACAGGAGGGTCATAAAAATACAAATGACACCTACGAGGCCTGTGGGCACGGACTCGTTACTTACCGTAGGGCTGACGTTTCTCTTTTAACTAGAGTAAAATCAGGCCAACGATAAATTGCCATCTTATTTCTTTCCCCCCAGCACAACTTTAGAAAATGTAAGGAAATCACTAAATATTCCTCTCTCACGGATGTTAAAGTGAATGGGGGTAGATGGAAGTGTACGTAGGCTGAACTCTTGCAGGCAGGCATGCTTTTATTGGGAGAAAAAAGCACTGGTTGGGCTTTTTATTTCTCCCCCCAGTAGCTCTCATATAGGCAGAAGGTAGGGGTAGAGGCAACGGCTCACAAGGGGGGAAGGAGGAGACCCCAAAAAGCCAAGACACAGACTCTTCTCTATCAGAGTTAATGAGTCCAGCTGGGCTTTAGCCAGGGCAAGGAATGGGACTCACCCAGAGGCCAGAGTGGTCAAATAACTCATTTATTATCTTAAACTTATCCTCTAAGGACAGAACAAAAAGAAATAGATTTAGATTGTAGCAAAAGAGGTTCTATTTAGATAGGTGAAAAGAATTTCCTGACATTCAGGACTGATCAGCCCTATTGCTAACTAGTAGCTAAGGTTGTCATTTTCAGGAACTCTTAAAACAGGATAGATAGATAATCTTTAGTCTGAGCTGGATTAGACAAAAAGACAGAAAGAATAGCCACAATGATTTTGGAAGGGACTGGCAGGCCATGAGACTATGATCTTCTATAATTGTGAAGATTTCCTAATGTAGTCTTCGTGAGAAATACTTTTTTTCTAGAAACAAAGAAATCAAGAAGGACTTAAAAAAGAAAATCAAACCCAAACCGGACATTTTATTGTTGCAAGAAAAAAAAATTAAATCCCTCAGATGAGAAGCAGGTAACAAATAAGGTTTAGCAAATGAGATTTGGTTTTTGATCCGCACTCATCTTTAAGCTGCTTTTCCATATTAGGTACATAAAGTGGTGAAAAGATATGGCATCCTAAAAGAGTATAAATTGTATAAAATACAAGAATTAGAGATAGAAAAAAATATTAGGTCAGTGAGTCCTTTTCTGTGGCATGGGTTTATTTTCTATAGGGCATTCCCAGATATATTTAAATGTGAAGAATTTCCAGCAATAGGACTCCCATGACTTCCCCACAGGGATGACTCCATCCTGATGGAATACTTTTTCTTTGGTCAATTTTCTTGGGTCTGCTTTGTCCTATTATTCCTGGTTAGACTTTCTTGCTAGGCCACTCAGAAGAATTCTATGATATCAGTGGTTATGGTTTCTAATCCCCTTGCATGGTCTCCAATTTTTTATTCTTATAACATGGCAAGAAAGTAACACTGTTGATATCTATTGAACTTCCTCTCCAACCACATACCTACTGCCCAAGAGATACAGTCTAGAAACACTGCTCGCCAGCTAACCTCAACAATTGGCGACCATTTTATTCACTTTGGTTCTGTTATCTTTGTCTTGCAGAAACAATAAAATCCTCTCTTCTCACCGCCTCCACTCATGCATGTAATTTAACAACTAGTGCTTTGTACAGAACTCGGCACACAGTAGGCACTTAATAAATGCTTTTTGGTTGCCTTATCTGTTATTTATTTATTAACCTATCTGCATCCATGGGACTCAGGTAAATTCAGTGAATTCATGAATTAAGCTTTGCAAGTTCATTTGCATATGGTATGTGTATGCTTCTCTTGATATGCATTTTCTGGTCTATGAAGCATTTAGAGATAGCTTCCCCAAATGTGCACTGGCTAAGCAGAGAGGCTGCATTTTTTGAAGACCAGCTGAAGATAGGATATGGTTGTACACTAGTCATTCAGAATCTTAATCTACACGCTTACTGGGGACTAGATTAAGGATGAATTGACATGTAGAACAATACAAAGCCTGAAAAGATTTGTTTTTTGAAAGTCTGCAGAATGGCTATCAAAATTCCAACAATCTGCATGACGCCAATGTCAGGAGTTATGCTCCAGTTGTGCATAATAATCATGCCCTTAGGAAGAAGTGAGCCGCTTCTTCTAAATCTTCCTATATATAGGGAAACAAAATTCCTCCTTTACAGCACATTCCACAGATGCAAAACACCAGGTTGTTTCTGCTAAGTCACATCTTGGCTAAATGGGTAATTGAATAGTGAATGGGAATGTCTATTCAGCTACTAACCTGCGAATTCAGAAAAAAAAAAGGAATCACAGCATAGCAATCCCCAGGAGGCAGAAAACATGACCGATTTTTCCAATAAGACTGAAAAAATCAATAATCCTTATAGACAGAGCTCTCACATCTTTAGCAGTCACGAAGCCTTTCATGTCTGTGTTCCCCCTTCCAAAAGAAGGTTTCTGTCTTTAGCTTGGCATATGCTACCACTTCCATAATCACCATCCAGAAAGATTTAGCCTGACTTCCATTCTTGTTCTGCTGAGCGCACCTTTTAGAAGGGACCCACAATGAGTCTTGACTCCGAGCTGCTTGCTTTCTGTGTAGCTCTGTGAAATGCTACTTTGCTGTTGTGTGGTGCTAATAAGTCACGATGCATTGCCATGCATGCCTGCATGATGAATGGGATATGCGGGGGAGTTGGGAGCTTTCAGAGGTTATCCACTATACATTGAATAATAAAACTCATATTTAAAATAGCCTTGGATGGGATTCTTGGCACCACCACAATTCAAAGAGAATAGCCTACCTTACTAGATATTCTTAGTGGTAGAGAGACTTGGTTCTACTCCCATTTCATGCTTCTAAGAAAAACTATCTTCCCAAAACTGACATCTTCAAGGTAATGGGGCTTAGATTTTTTTTTCTTGGCTGCTATTTCCGTAAAGGGCCACAGGACCCAGCATAAATAAGAGTCCCAAGAAAAGATGAATACTATTAGATCAATCTCGGATAGGACGTCTAAGTCAAGGACAAGCAGACTAAAGGGGTGTGTGTGTGTGTGTGTGTGTGTGTGTGTGTGTGTGTGTGTGTGTATGTGTGTACACTTTTGGTTTCACTGATTTAGGAAACTTCCAATGAAAAACAGCTATTCTTCAATTTATAGTTTAAGAGAGCTGCTTGGGAAGGGAAAAAGAAGGGAATAAGTATTTACATGTCAGCACTGTGCTAAGCACTTGACGAATATTATTTCATTTGATCCTCACAATAACTCTGTGAGGTAAATGCCAATATTGTCCTTTAACAGCTGAGGAAACTGAGGCAGAGGTTAAGTGATTTGCCCGGAGGCACACAGCTAGTGAGCATCTGAAGTTGGGTCTTGAACTCAGGTTCTGCTAGGGTCTGAGGGCAGCTTTCTAGCCACTATGCCACAGCTGTCTCTTATACATGGCTAGACTACAGTGAAAAGCAAATAAA